GTGTCAGCTTATGCTGTTTTTCAACCCGACCTGGAAAACATTGACACAAACTATAGAGAGAGAGAGAAAAAAAAACTTAGAATATAACACTTATCAGAGAAAGGAAACCATCAATTACCTGTGGATATGCATAAAGTAAAATTTTAGCCATCCGACTGCTTTAAACTCATTTTTAACCTTTTTTTAAAATTGCTTAGGCTATATTCTTTATACTCACTTGATAAGCAGTTATATAGTTTGGGTGCCCAGTACGAGAAACTGCGTGTGAACAATGCTGTCGAATGCCGCGGGATAAGTAAGATGAGTTTATTCCTAGAGGATCTTTGATCGTACTGGCAGAGGAGGCTTAGTTTTGTATAAAGATAATATGGCGCTTTAAGGATAAGGGTCTTATGTACCAGAGATAGGCAATGCAGTTTCCTCAATTTGTTCATCTTAAACCATCCCGATTGGTCAAAAGCGCTACTAATATGATCAAATTTACGGATTCCATAAGAAAATCTGATGCATGAGTTTTGTATCATCTGAATCCGCTCGGCATCACGTTGTAAAAGAGCAGGTCCATAAACAGAGTCACCGTAAGATAATTTTGACAGGATAAGGGACTCGCAGAGTTTAAGCTTGAGCTGTGTCGACAGGACACTTCGACTCGGGTATAACTGACGAAGCACATTATAGGACGCATTGCATAGTTGGTTAACATGTTTAGTGAAGCGTAGCTTGCAGTCAAACCAGATACCAAGGTTTTTGCATTCGTTTACGAAGGATATGTCTTCATTATTCACCATAATATTAATGCGATATTGATTTATTTCACGATTCCTTTTGGGCCCAAATAAAATGCAGCATGATTTGCCAGGATTTAGTTTTAGATTGTGAGCACTAGATATGTCAAAAATAGACTGCAGGTCTTGATTTATTTGATGTTGGCCAAGCATATATTCATCAGGATCGAAGCAGTTATAAAGTTGGGTATCATCGGCGTAATGATGAACGATTGAGTTGCTGGCGGTTTCATGAAAATCACATATATAAAGAGCAAATAAAAGGGGACTCAAAATAGATCCTTGAGGGACACCAAAATTTCTGAATAAAGCAGTTGATATATTGTTTTCATATATGACAGACTGTGAGCGATCAGTTAAAAAGCTCTTAATCAGCGTGCAAGCCGATGATGACAGGCCAAAGTATCTAAGCTTTTTACAGAGAATATTTGGGTCAACCGTATCGAAGACCTTGCTAAAATCAAGAAGAACTAAGCAGGACAGCTTTCCTTGATCAGCCGCGCTATAAATATTATCCGATATAGACAGAAGCGCAGTGGTGGTGCTATGTAATGGTCTGAAACCAGATTGGGAGGTGGTCAGTAAATTATTTTGACAAACAAATGTGTGCAGCTGCTCATGTAGAGCGATTTCCAAAAGCTTAGATAAACTTGGTAAAATGCTTATAAATACGTCTACCAAAATCCGGAGAGACGCATAACGAAAACCAGTTTTAATGCCATTTTCACAAGGGTCTGGTCACAATGTTTGACCCATGAAAATATAGTAAACGGTTTTCGAGCTACAGGCCAATACCCTTTCAATCCAGACATATTACCTGACGAGGCATATATTCCATTCCATCTTAACTGAGCTACCGCCACCAACAGAACCCAGTGCTGAAGTCGGCTCCGATATAGATCGTGTCAATCATACACCAGAAGAACAGCCTCAGAACAATGGCGATTCTCCATTTCTTTTAGAGCAAGCTCCACATTCACCTGAAAAAAGTTCTGCCCAAAGCGCCACAGATCCGCAAGCCTTGACGGTTAATACTAATCAACAACATAAAGACATCATCCAGTCATCTGAACAGATCTTGAGTAATGTAGAAACAACACCTAAGAAGATACAGATCATTAGTAAAAACGTAGTCACTCTGATACAGTCACCACAACCTTCTACTTCAAGACATCACTGGTCTCCTATATATCGTCGTCATGTGATTTATAGTTCAGAATCCGAGACAGATACTGAAACGACTATTGTACAGCAGAGAACAAAACTGGCATCAAACAAATCATCACTGCCCATGGATAATATACAGGGGGCGCATCGAAAACGAAACAGACGCATTTATTGGCAGCTCAGTTTCTTTTTTTGAAAAACGCTCAGACCCGTCGATTTTATTTTCGAGGGGGAAACAAGTTTGGCAAAAAATCACGTTTGCACGTGCAGCCCCCTAAGCGGGGGTGATACCACCCCCAAAATCTTTAATGGAAAGGGGAGTCGAGTAATACCTTATTTTAAAGGTCTTTCAATTACCTTTATAATGATATAAAATTGATGTACTTCAGTTCAGCAGTTTTGAAGATTTATTGATTTAAAGCTTAAAGAAAACTAATACGTTATATCATCATTAGTGGAGATCAATACATTTGGCAGCAAAGTAATTTAAAAATGAAGAATGAACTGACCCGTTAGGCAAGCAAATGTTGAAAATGGCCACCATGACTTTCCATGCAATAATAAAGATTTTGCTCAAAACGTTGCCGCACATTTTGCAATATTTGAGGAGTAATTTGAAGGCACTCATTCACAATTCTTTGTCGCAGGTCTTCTAATAATGTTGGTTGAGTAGCATAGATTTTGATTTCTAAATGATCCCACATAAAGAAATCCAAAGGTGATAAATCTGGCGATCTTGGGGGCCATTCAATGGCACCTCTTCTACCAATCCAACGATCTGGAAACGTCTGATCTAAATATTGTCGAACACGTAAAGCGTAATGTGGTGGGGCACCATCCTGTTGTAACATCAACCTATTCGCAATGTACCGCCGATCATTCTGATTTTCAATTATGACTGTTAATGCAGGATCTATGGCGTCTTATAGTAATTCCAAATACATTTCACCGGTCAAATTTCCAAGAAAGAAAGAAGGACCAACTAAATGATCGCCAAAAATACCAGCCCAAACATTTAATTTTTGTGGCTGCTGTGTATGAACCTCATGATAAATTCTTTGATTAGAATCGGACCAATATCGGCCGTTATGACGTTTTACTACGCCATTTAAGAAAAAGTAACATTCTTCGGAAAAGCAAGTGTTGAATAGAAAATGTTCATCGTTTATAATTCGTTCACTCATATCTTTACAAAATTGTAAACGCCGATCAAAATCGTCTTCATTAAGTTCTTGTACCAGGTGAATTTTATACGGATGAAAACTATGGGCCTTTAGAATCCCTTGGACAGTACGTCGACTAACACCACACACAGTCTCCAATTTGCGGGTACTTAACGTAGGATCTACATAAACTTGCCCTAAAACCCCCACTTCTATTGACTCGTTCGTTATGGGATTTTCAATGTTGCGTTTTTTATTGGCGACTGACCCAGTTTCCCGAAATTTAGCTGCAAGTTCTAGAACATATTTTTGACTCACGTTACTGTTTTCATGTCGCTCATTAAATATTTCTGCTGTTCTATTAGCGCACTGATTATTTCCGAAAAATATTTCGATGATTTCAACTCTCTCTGCTGTGGAATATACCATGGTTAAAGTTTGGTCAAATCAATCGCAAACTATGTACTAAATTCCTATTTAAAATAAGTACGAGATATTTCCTTATCTTTCTTCAAGAAATAACTTTTTTGCCATGCTCCAATAGCTATTTTCAACAACAAAATGATAAACAAACCATGGGCGTAGTGAAGAAGTAAATCCTTTTAGTCAAATTTCTTCTGAAAGTAGTAAAAACTAATCTTATGTACCTATTAAAGTCTACTTTAAGCTTTAAATCAATAAATCTCCACAACTACTGAACTGATGCTCATGTATTTTACATCATTATAAAAGGAATTGAAAGACCTTTAAAAATAAGGTATCACTTCATTTAAGATTTTAGAGTTGGTGTCACCCCCGCCCAGGGGGCTGCACGTGTTAACGTGATTTTTTGCCAAACTTGTGTCCACCTCGAAAACAAAATCGATGGGTCTGAGCGTTTTTCCAAAAAAAAACTGAACTGCCATTAAATGCGTCTGTTTCGTTTTCGATGCGCCACCCTGTATATTGTTCTAAAGGAAAAATCGAAGACAGCGATAGTTTCAGTTCTGATGACAACATACCTTTAACTTAACTTCAAAGCTAAGAAATCTAGGTCTCCTTTTCAAGAGCGATTCCCAACTCCGAACAATGCTCTTACAAAAAATAAGCCTAGGAGAAAATGTATTAATTATAAAGGCCAACGAATTACCAAAGACCTATTCGAAGAACGAGAAGCATTGAATGAAAACGAGAAGACAAAGAAAACAACACTGAAAAATTACAAAAGAAAAATCAAAAAAACAGAAAAGAAAACTAAAGATGGAAACCAACAACGATCTCATAGTAATGAAAGAGAAAGAAGCAAAGTTCCGTCAGAAGAATCTTGGTTTTGCTGTGCTTGCAAGGAAAATGGTGTGTCGGATATGAAACAGTGTGTGAACTGTCACATATCGTACCACGAAGAATATGTAGGGTTGATCAAAAATGATAAGGAATTGTTTTATTGTCAAAACTGTGATGAATAAGTATCGTTATCATTAGGTAAACTAGGATCTATATTGATGGACTATTTATTTGTATTCAATCGAACCTCTTAGTCGTTCAAGTACAATATTTCCAAAAGAATCTACTTCCAAGGTTCCCAATCCAAAGTCTGATTTAGGATATGTCATTTAAGTCTTAATATAAGAAATCTTGTAATAACTTAAAAAGTGTTATTGTTATTATCTCTTAAGTTTTTGTAATAAAATGTTTTTTGTTGATTTTAACTGCTGAAAATGCCAACAAATTTGAGTTTTGTTGATAATTACATGAAAAAGAAATATTTTATTTTCGGGCTTAAATTACTGTGGTAGTTTAATAAGGCCCATGGCAAGAGTTTTTAAAAGTTGTTATGTTTATTTCCATGCTGATTTCTGTGTTACTATTTATCTTTTATTCTTACCTTAAATAAAAAAGCTTTCTGCTGAACTACGTTTTTTCAATTTTTTGATATAATTCCTGAGTTTTTTAGCTTTAAAGTTAGCTGGACCTTACTCACCTCAGGCACCTTATATTAAACTTTCTATAATTTAAAAAGGTGGCATCTTGAGCTTTGAACATATGTTATAAACTTGTATTCATAAAATTTGGCACACGAATATTTTTACTTGAGCACTATGCAAGCAAGCCAGGTTTCATCAGAGGATAGTGCCTACTTTGATTTGTGCCAAATCGGCTATTTCGAATACTCATTGATAGAGTCATTGTAACTATAGAAGGTTGAAATCATTAATCATTATTTATTTATCAACTATCAAAAAGTAACAAAACCATAATATCACAATTTACAACTTAAGACCTTCCTTCTTGATTTCAGCTTGGTATTTCTTAATGTATGAGCCCTCGGGGTCGTACACCTTCTCCAGTTCTGTCCACCAGTCACGCTTGTGGTCGATCAAGTAGTGGATGACCTGCTTGGCTCCATCCTTTTGTTTTGCGCTGCATTTTGAGCAATCAGTTTCGATGGCGTCAGGCAAGCTCTCTGGAAAGCAAGTAATTCGGTTAGTTTTGGTGATCAACAAATACAAGATTGAAGGATAGAAACAAAGCTCAAGCTTCATTTTTAGCCGTTTTATCGGCAGCCTACCGATGTATGAAGAAGGTTGTAGATCAGAGTTGTTATAATCTAGTAGATCATTTGTAGGTTATCAAAAACTTCTTGGCGTCGGCAAATAAAAGGAGACACAAAACGCAAATACAAACATTTTTGGAGCCAGTGACTGATTCTCGCCTCAAATGTTTAATCCTGGTACTTCTCGATATCTCTTATACTTTTGGTGATTGTTCATGTCAATAGAGGGTTTGGGCATGCACCAATGCTGGATATGTAAACGATAAACCATTAACCTCTTATTCATCTATACCGAAACAGCTGCGCAGCCAGAAGCCTAAATGTAGGTTCACCGCGGATGCTGAGAAGTACATAAGATTATTAGAACTGGGAAAAGTCCCTTCATCTAGATTGTTCCACAATATCGATACCTTAGAGACAAAGGAGCGATCGTATCGGCCAGTTCTGGATATGTGAAGTTCGAGATGGTTAGGATGGAAGGTCGATGAACGGTAGGAGAGAGCTAATTTGCCGACGCTCCGCCCATGTGAGTTGGCCACGAGACTGTCCGTTAGAGAAGAGAGATTGATCAGCTGGACAACGTATGCACTATTTGGTTCGCTAAGGGCCGTACCGTCAGTTGTTCCTACAATTTATTGTAGGACGCCTTTATGACCGCCTTGATTTTTATAGGGGTACTAGTATTTCTAGACTGTTCCGTGTTCCGACATTTCAAAAAGAAAACATAAGATCACAGTAGAAATCTAGAAATACCCCAGCCTTTCTCAAGGAGAAAAAAGAGTATGGTAATCAAAGAGGCCATAAAGGCGTCCTACAATAGTAGGAACGACTGACGATACGGCCCTTAAACTCTGTAATATGTCTGAAACAATCTAAAAAAATCCAAAGTATGAATAAGCAAAGTACGATCGAGAACATACTGAAAAAACGAGGAAAAACTATACTAAATATCCATGTTTTACGCGCCACAAAACATCGATATTCTTCAGCAAGACAACCACAGGGTAAGTTTTAGGTGGTCCAAGAACGACACTGTATTATCGGTCAGAATCCTTCGGTTAGTGGGCCTATCCATATTTCTTTGTTACTGCGCGGTGTCAGAAACCGCTGAGCCGATTTTGTTGAAAAGGTATGCATATGCTGCAGCAATGGCAGTAATCCGAAGAACCATCACTATGTATGTATTCTAAGTCAGAGAAGGCGTTTGTGATCGACATTTTGTTTTGTTCAAGTTCGTTCGAAGTGCTACGATTTTTGAAAATTCCAAGCTTTGTAGTCCAAGATTTTTTAGATATCTACTTGGTCATTTTATATCGTCGCCGAAAAGTTCGTTCACTGCCTCTTTTAAACTTTAACGCCAATATATTTATTTTATGATTACAATTGCCTTACCACTTTATTTAAGTTTTTAAACAATACTACTTTTATTCTCTGTATAATACTAATACAGTACTAGCCCTTTTACTCTTTATAACGTATTAATATGTTTACTTATTTTGTTTTTTATGTAATAATTTTATAATATATAGCTTATTTATATACGTATATATATATATATTTATATAAATTTGTTGAATGTATCTATTCAATGTTATACCTAAAACGATGATTAAATTGAACTATTAGATGTTTAAAAAATTACTTTTGTGCTATTTATTTGAATTTCAATATGAATATGCTATTTTAAAATGCATTACTGTGTTTTTCATTTAAAATAATATTTATAGATTTTGAAAACTTCGAAAAAAGGCAGTAAATTTGTTCTTGCAGAGTATAATAGCAGTAAATCCCATGTTACTGCTTTTAAATTTGAGACAATTAAAAACGGAATGTCATTTATTTTATGTATGTAACTTTTCAATATTCATTCACTTTTGTTACATTGTAATGACACTATTTATTTAGTTCGAAATGTCCAGAATTTTGAACTCAATTTTCACAGAATTCGATTGTTACACTGTACCTAAATTCGGCAGTATGTTAAGTTGAAAGAGAATTTGTGTTATTAATAAGTAGTATCTCATTGGTGCCTTAAAATTCTAAGAAGTATTTGTATATGTGAGTATCTAAAACTTTTTTTACAAAACCGGCAGCGAATCATATCACTTCATAGGTTTCTAAAAAAATAGGTACAAGGCTCTCATAACGTAAAAAGTATATTTTCATCATTTTGTCTCGACAGAAGGAGGAATCAAAATAATTTTTCGCCATTGACATTAATAAATAAGCTATGTTATTTTACAGGATTTATATCTTCTGATATATTGGAAAATTCGAACCTTTTCAGTCTGGATATTTGAGGTACAATCCTTAAATTTCCTTATAAAAAGATTCAAATCTACTCTACTTTGACAATATGCGTGTACTAAAATTTGATATTGAAAATTGTATTCAGGATATTTTAAAATCCTGCCACGCCATTATTCAGAACATTCATGTTTTAATATACCTAGTTAGTGTAGTCTAGATTTTTGTAATTTTATGGCGATTTTTGTTGTTTTTTAATGCATTTTCAGCTGTAAAAATATATTTGTTTGAGTAACTTAAGAATACCTAAGAATGCCTAGAATTGAAACAATGAATCGTAATATCATTTTCAATGTACTCGATTACTCCGTCAAATTGAGAGGCATAAAAAAAATTAAGTATTACCAAGTATATCAGCATCTACATTTGTCGGATACAAATTACTGTGATTATCGATTAAATCCACGAAAATGAATTAAATTAATCTAACAGAAACTCATGGCTTCCTTAAATAATTTATCCAGGCAATAATTTTTGTTTTTCTTACCAGTTGTTGCGGAAACAATAAAATTATTATTTAATGTATTTTGGAAATTTTCATGCATGCCTAATTATTGTTGTCATTGCATGAATAACCAGTTTCTGTGGTACTGTTTTGTAAGTTCATCTGCATGATCTTACCATAAAGAATAATGAATTTACATATCGAAAGTGAGAGATTTATACATTATAATATCGGGGAGAATTAATTGTTAGTTGGTATCGATATTTCGCCTACCATAAATAATTAAACACCTATAACGCCGAAATTGATGTTAAGAATAACATAGGTGAAGGTTGTTTTGGTATAAGGAAGTTTAATCAATAGCAAGCATTAATTTCAAGTGTGAATTTGCTTAAAACGGCAGAATAACTACATTAATTGAGCACTGAGCTTTTTTCACTATTACAGGTTATGTTTTAAAAAATAAATCTAGAAATTCTGATTGAACTACTATACCGGCGTTTTAGTTGTGAGGGTAATCTTTTTCAATGCATAAAGTCAAAAAAATCGAGTGAAATAGATACCCTCAGTTCAGTGATGTTAATCTATTTCAAAACTTTAGTGGCATAAGTAACATTTAGTAGTAAGTGAAATATGAAGGATGCCTGAATTTTTAACCACTACAAGAAGTTATTGAACACGCCAAAAGGGCGTCTTCTCTATGCCCAAAGATATCAGTTATCTTGAAAACATCGGAAAACGGAGATCTGAGACGTTTTTAAGGTTTTGTTTTTTCGTTCATAGCTCCATAGATATTGTACCGGTTACCAGTCCATAAAGCTTATCTTGTCCTTGATATGGTAGTAACCTTGCTTAATCATACAGGTAACTTCAGAGTTATACAGGGTGTTTCACAACTTATCCGACAAGCTTTAACCACCTATGCACTGTTACGAAAGAAGTTGATTTCTCAAAAGAAAAATGTAATAAAAGTCCTAGTCCTACAGAAATTAAGTTATAATTCTGAGTTTCAATAATATCTGTATTTTGCTTTCATCGTCGTGATATTAGAACACGCATCAATAATTTATTGTAGCAAATGTTGTGCCAAACAACTGATGAAAATAAAATACCAGGATTTATTTGTTTTTTCATACTGATAAGTATGTGTAAATAAGGTTTAATCTGTATCGTGGGTGATCTGAATGAAGAACGGTCGATTTTGGTGAAGTTAAATAAGAAAGTATATTACGAGTTTATGTTTTTAGTTATTTATTAATAAAAAATGGCACATGTGTACACTAATGAGGAGTTAGTGGACCTTGTTTTAGCGTACGGAGAAGCAGGGCAAAATTCGCGAGCGGCTTCTCGTTTGTATGAACACCGATTTCGGTAGAGGCACATACCCATCGCGAAATATTTAGTTCAATTGTTTTACGTGCACAAGCTAGTGGAGATTTGCGCCCCAGACGTGGTTTGGATGGGGGTAGGGTTCGCCCACAAAGCGTTTTAAATGCCGAAGACGAAATTTTGGATATTGCGGAAGAAAATCCGGGAATAAGCACAAGCCAGTAAGCACCGCAGGTCCCAGAAGTGTCACATGCAACAACGTGGCGCATATTACATATTATTTTATTATCTCGGTTTCTGAAGGACATAATAAAAAAATTTCTTGACAAATCAACTTCTTTCGTAACAGTGCAAATGTGGCTAAAATTTGGGGGATAAGTTGTATAGGGACAAGTATTACCGGATAAGACTTTTCACGGTTACAATACTTTCGCCAATTGCATGGTAAGTAAGAGTTACATGCCGAATTACTAATGTCAGCTATCAAAAAGAGATTTAGATATACTAAATGGTAGTTGCTCAAAAATAAAAATTATAAATGACTAAGATTTGGTATAGCAAATAATCCGTTAATTTATACATAGGCTTACGAATTATTCAATCTTATATATAACATGACGAATGTGACATTCAAATACGCATTAAATATTAAATGTTCCTAAATATACGTATGAGGTAATTAAGTCAAATTGCATCGTTCGACTCTCTCCTGATTTAGCTCCATTAACAGGATCAATTATACTTTTTCTATCAGTTTTTACCATTTTAAAAGCTAGTATAATTAATTTTAAGTTTTCAAGTAATGTTTACGTCTGCTTGTCAATAAGTATAGGTATTCATGCTATGTAGAGGTATTATTAAAGGTAGTGATAAGTAGCCTGACAGACTAATTGAAACTAATGTTATTAAATATTGTGGAGGCTGCCAATGCGTCCTAGGTCTTGAGCTAAAACATTTTTATCTAATTCAAGCTCCATATGTGTTTACTAGCTTCTTGAGAAATATTACAGATAAAAACAATGTACAAACCTCACATAAAAGCAGCTCACAGAACGTGAAGTTTCTGCAAGTAGCAATGGTTTCAAATCGAATCATCCTTTGCAAAATACTATTCACTGGGTGAAAATAAGATGGTAAGAAATAATACTTTCGGACTTTAAAGATGGCTGATTCGAAAAATTTGCTACTTATCTGCTCAAAATTCACCTTATGTAAGTTGCTTTCATGTAATACTTAACTATTATAAACTTGTACTGTAACTATTTCTAGCATTGTTGAGGAAGGTAATAAGCGCCTGCGAAAGCTTGAATTGAAAAAAGTGTTTTCTTGCTCAAAGCGGTACCTACTATGAACTAAGGCATCCCACTATTGCATCCTCAGCTGTTTGTTGTATAACATTGCAAGGATTTTTCCTTTTATACAAGTTTTGTATTCCTTTCACCAGAAGAAAAATTCCGAAATATAATATGCATGAAACAATTCAACGAGTAAAAATGTCCAAATAGCAGACAGAGACTTTTAGGTGGAATGTTTTACTTTCAAGTCAGAACGAAACCTCACATGTCATACTCAGCAGTATCACAATCTGAAAGCCACTTCAAGAACTTATCATCTGATTTACTTCATGGTTCATGTTTTATCTAGATGCATAAATAGTTAATTGAAAAATATGACCTTTACGCGTAAGATGGAACACAACCGTTTGTCGAATGGAAAGAGGAATAAATTAATAATAACAATAACATTAGCAATGCATGATTTCTTTGTGGTATAAAGGTACTTCTTTATATTATTGCTGAATCATTTATTCAGGCGTATTTTCATAGAGATAGAAAGATATATACTGCCTGATTCAAATCAACTTCCACGTCATATTGCATTTTTACACAGGTGAATAGAAAATATGGTGTATCATATATTGACATTGTCAAACCGTCTTTACATTTTTGGTGAATAAATCTTTCATTCGTATTTTCATAAAGCTAGAAAGATATACCGGGTATTTCAAATCCACTCCCACGTCATATTGCATTTTTACACAGGTGAATAGAGAATATGGTGTATCATATATTGACATTGTCAAACCGTCTTTACATTTTTGGTGAATAAATCTTTCATTCGTATTTTCATAAAGCTAGAAAGATATATATTTTAAATCAACTCTCACGTCCTATTGCATTACAGTTGAAATAGAGTTCTAATTGTGATTCCAAAAATATATGATGTGTCATATACAACATTATCAAAAAATAAAATGTCTATATTTGGCCTTGAAAATGACAGCTATTCACATGTTCATTCGATTACATCACCAATTAAAAAGATTGCTTCATTTCTTTAGAAAAGCGTAAAAGGACATTCAGACCATTTACCAATGTATTATTTATAATAACACATGTCACATCGGATGATTAATATTATTTAAATGACATGACGATTTCGTCTCGTTTTCTCTCAATTTCTTAAAATTATACAGTTTTCAATTTGCTTAACTTAATTACCGTTATTAAATAAAATGAAAAAAGTTAGCATTATCTTGTTGCTCATGCTTTAAAACCTGTAGGAAAAGGCATTTTCAGCATTTGTAATTTTCTAATATCAATCCATGCACAGATGTGTATAATACAATCCCATAAAAATGGAAAGTAAGGACTGTTAATGCTCAGTTCATCAAAGCTGAAGAAATGCTTGCTGATGATATCACGAAAAAAATGACTATTTGGTTACTCCAAGGCAGCTTTTTCAAAATTATTATGGTTCGAAAATATTAATGCATGGTATTTGAAATACCAACTCAATTAAAGTCATTTTTTTCTGTGTAACTCTGGAAATACTCTAAATTGCTAAGCTTTCTAAGTGCCACTTTCTTAGTTAACTCTATATAGTAGACTTCTTATCTATTACTGTTTCTGAGATCGCAATGGTGAGAGTCGAAAATATGTTTAAAAAAATTACAAGTTTCCTCTTCTACTAATCCAGCTAAGCGTTGTGTAAATATAAATAGTGTGTGCTAAATCTGTATCAGTCAAACACGCTCAAATGTATGTACTCGTTATGTACATCTTTACACTGCATACCTAGCATCAAAGTTCATTCGATTTCGTCATTTAAATTAACCAGCGAAACTATTAAATGCCTGTTTTGCTGAGAAGGCGTTTTTTTACACAACAAAAAGAGCTAGCTTTTATTGCTACTGGTACTATCTAACCATAAGTAATTTTCGTTAAAAATATGTATTATATAGTTATTAGTAACGCAATTTAAATTCGAGGAAGTGATGAATAAATAAATACACAAAAAATTAATAATGCAAATTACCTATTTTGGAATTTTTGGTGGACGTTTTTTCGTAATACCGAAAATTACTTTTCCTGTTAAGTTACTTAAATTATGTAGTGGCTTGACCTTTAATGATCATAATAATAATAACTACCGCTCGTAATGTTAAGAATAACCATTGTAGTTGAGGTCAAACACTGAAATGACGTCAGATAGATTGACCTGATGCCTCACACGAAGTTGAGTATGCAAAAAGCTATAAGCCTATTTTTAAGAAATCATCCACAACTTCTTTGAACAACAAATGCAATGTTTGTAAAAAATCGTATTTGGCTCGCATTGATAAAATCGCCTCTTTTGAGTTAGTTTTTGACGTAATACGCTGGCTTGTTTTCCTTGCAAAACTGTAGCTAACAACTGAAACTCAAATCAAGTGTAAGGTTGTCAAATAAAACGACAAATATGTGCATGAAAGTTGAAGAGCTGGAGATTCGGAGTATTATGCAAATGTGATAATACTTTTGATTTCCAGAAATGCCTAATAACTTGGTAGGTACATCTGAGATCCCGTTTGTTTCAACGAGCTGCTAAAAGGGATACTGTGTTATACTGAAAGCAGTTTTTATTATTTGTACTCATCGGACTGGAACCTGTGAAAGTTTCAAACCAAAACGTCTTATATATTTTCAATTTTATTGAAATTTTAATTTACATGTTTTGTATACGCTTTCAATGAACATGAGTTTCAAATTGTGGCTGCAGTAAGAAGTTGAACAATATTATTACTAAGTGTTTCACAGATTTGAGGTATTGTTGATTTTGGCCACCAAATTATTTGAAGTGCAAAAAAATTTGCTTAAAAAGGTAATTCATAGCAAAGGTCTGGAAATTGTCAAACTCTGTTTTCTTATGTTTCTCAAGCTGAAAAAATGTTAAGGCACCGTATGAATATATTTGACAATTCTGAAAAGTAAATGTTTGCATGTTTTTTTTTAAATTTCGTTCTAAAGTGAGAAGCTTTTAACATGTGTTGCAGCAATTCGTTACTAATTAATTAACAAACGAACATTTTGGATTTTTTTCGCCTTTTCGTCCATTTGTTCGCTACCATACAGTATGTTGCGACAACCTGCACTGCTAAGAAGAGAAAAAGCAAATGAACCTTCTTCTAGAAGACAAAAGTAAAGTATAGCGTCAATGATTTGTGCTTTGAGAAAAGCAATGGTTGGTGGCCGAAACATCAGTAAGAAGTAATTAATACATATGTGTGGTTTCATTTGGCCAGATGATCATGGTGCTCTATTAACATTAACATATTATAGGCAAAAAGGAGCAAATTAGGAACGTCTAGGGATACCAAATATAGTTTTAAGTTTAACTGAAGAGATCCTCAAGTTGAAGATATTAGAAATAAGGACTGAGGAATTTTCAAAGTCTTGAAGCTTTTGTTTCAAGTACTACTTAAAAAAGAATTGCCCGCTATGATCCCACACGATACGCCATAATGGGCACCAGAATTGAGATCAACAAGAGCTAACAGGTCGGTCAATAGAGCGGCCCAAATCGACTGTAGGAGATGCAGAAGCCTCAGGGGTTGATATTTTGAATGAATAAATATGGCAGTGTGGCATTTTGTCGAAAACCAGCTATTCATGATACGATAATTTGTAAAATAACACAATATCTTACTTTTCAGCTCTTCTCCATCATTGGTGCACTTCCTCTTTCCCAACAGGCAGTCCACGTAATTCCTGAGCAGCCTGTCGTTCTTGAGAATGGAGTCCAGGTCTATGTTATCGTACTTGGTGGTGTACTTCTCATCAGGCCTGGCGTAGACGGTGACGCACACAGCAAGTACTGCTAAACAGATTGCGAGTTTCATTTTGCCGGTTGACTGGTCAATGATGGTCAGATCGGGTGCGACTGGTGCTAGCCGAAGATCGAGTCGCGCTTAAATACGTTACCGCGAGGGGGACGAGACGCCGGGGGTAATGAAGATTAAGAGACGAAAAACGACTTCAAGTCGATGGACTTGCAGGGACTTTCCGAGCTCTGTTGGTGGATAAATAATAAACAAACATGGAATTATTCGTCGATTAGCATTTCGCAGAAGTCGTTATACACAGAAAAGTACTAGGGCAGTTCAGCATCTGTGCAAAAAACAACCAGGACTATTATTTAGCCTATAAACTGGAAAGCTCGCGGTAAGCGTAACATGCACCAATTGAAAAATCTCTCTATCAGATATATTTTGAATTCTTTCTTATAGGATTTCTTACTGGTGTTTAACGATTGAAAATTTTTGGTTCCATTATAGAGGGCAAACTTGCAGTTGTATTACTGGAAAATGAAACTAGCAATGTATTTTGTTTTCTTGTATTCATATGGTGCACGTTGCCCTACTATTTTTTTTATAGTAGTAGTAAAAACGTAGAGACATAGCTCTAAAACATGTAGGCACGTAAGGGTAAACATTTTTTAAAGTGTAAAGCTGTTTCAAGATGACTCAATGTTAGGGATACCAGCAATACTTCTAACAATTTTCTTCTGTGATATGAAAACATTCAGAGCATAGGTAGAGCTGCCCCATAAGCAAATTCCATAACGGAGTCGAGATTCGATCTGAGCGTAATAAACTAAGAGTCATTCCATGATAACGTGTCATCAACTTGCAGACCTAAAAATCTAACTAAATTGAACTCGTTGTTTTGAAGCTTTGTGCTGCCAGCCATGATTTGCTTATTACCAATATTATTTTTGAATGTGATGCCATCGTAGACATTTTGTTCTCTCTAAATTTCTGTAAAGGTCTAAATCATACGAATAAGATACTACATTACAAAGTCTCAATGCTAACGAGTTCAGTATTACAACGTTGAGACAAATCGTTAGCCTTTAGGAACTGCATTTTATTGGGAAGTAAATTCCTCCAAAAGCTTCCAAAGTCTTAATGCTAACGAGTTACAGTATCTCAGGTAATTCTGATTCTACCGATTGGTGGCCACCTGTTTATCTGCCAGCCTATGCAAGGTGTTAATATTTTAATTATACTAATAAAACTTCGCTTTATGTTTCAAACTCAAATCTAAACTTTTCAGACATGCTAGCTGTCTCTTAATAGTTAACAGAAAAAAAAAGTGATATTTAAGAATGATTCATTCAAAACTCACAATCTGTATAGCTTTTGAATTAAAGAGGGTATCACCAGACTTCCAGACAAGGAAAGAACATTTTCGTTCATCTATCTATCTACCCATTTATTATTTAGTGAACTCGTAATCTGATTAATGATTGCAATATCTCAGTGAGGATAGTATATTCCAAGTCAGCTTAGCTAGCAAATATTGGGATTTTGATTTAGCGGGAAGGACAAAGTCAACTAGCATGACACAATTTTTAGATATCTGCATAGAAAATATTTATTTTAGATGACTGTCATTATGGAAAAAATGTTCGACTACTATAGCCTTGTGAATATTTTTGAGTAAGCAAATATCACATTACATAAGGAATGCGTAGCAAATAGATTTTAATTTGAAGAGTCTCAGAAAACCTTGTAAAGTATTTGCATACTAGAGAGGCGCTAATGACTTTGGAAACGTATAGATATGAATCCTGAAAAACAGCGCAATTTTATATAGATGAAAGATATAGTGTATCATGCAAAAAAGTGAGTTTTCTTGAAGAAAGATAGTCATTGGTAGGGCCTTAAAATCTGATAAACTAGGTGCCAACTTATAGGTTTTACCAATAACTCCTGCTTTCATAAACACCAGGTAAAAGTGTGATTTATAACTTTGTGAAAACATAACTTATTTGTAAGATATGTAGTTGGCATCTAGCTTCTAGGGCCCTTCGCACGAGATTACACGATTACGTTTAGTACTAAAAGAATTGTTAGTTTGGAAATCAAACTTCTCCTGATCTCGATACCCTGAGGAATCCGCATTAGACGTGCAGTTACAAGCTTTTCTGATCCCGTAACACGAAAATCCATATTAGTCCTTGCTTCAACTTTGAAGATCTCTTAAATCTGGACTTTCTACATGTCAAAAATTATAATAGACCTATGTTACTTCGGTACGTGAGTATGTAAGTACACTAGACTCTTTCAAATATTCCAATGTTTCCGAAACAAGGGTCATTAGGAGGTTCAGACCCATAAACAAAGGTGATTGGTTGTAGCGTAATTGAATAGAAGCACTATTGAATATGTTCAATTAATCAATTTGACCTCCAACTGACCTTCAGGATCATATCCAAGGTCAGGATGAAGGTCCCCATCAGATGTGCCGTTGGGTATCCTGCAACTTTTGCATTAAAAGTCCTTTATTATTATTTTTTTTTCAGCTAGCCGCTGCTTCGCAACATTCCAAGAAAGAGCAACAGTTTAGCCCATATGATATGTATACCGATGAAAAGTATTTTTTTGCTTTCTATTTTTGCAACAAAGACATTGAGTTCATATTTGAAAAATCAACTTGCCCTTAAAATCACCTTCAAGGTGAATGTCGCCGTCAAATGCAAAGACCTCTAGATGCGCCGTTTGATTTTCTAGAACGTTTGTATCCAAAGTTTTTTGTCGCATTCTTGCATCCTGTATAAGCAGAATGCACTTTTTAGCTAAAAGATAAAAAATATTACTTTCGGGCTATAATTGTTCTGGCTGTAAAAGAATTAGCATTATTGCGGTAGAGCTACTCCATAAACTAATTTCTATCCTGAAAAAATGCAGTTGAATCATACCCTATTATTCGAAAACGAGTCGTTATTTCCAAAATCGTCAAAGGTCAAGGTAGCATAGAATAGCCCAAAGAATCAACTCAATCTTATTCACACCATATATTGGTAAACCCCTGTACATGAATATGGTGTGATTTAGCAGTCAAATGTATATCAGCTTTTCTTAGCATGTGAGTTGCAACACTCCAGCATGATTCATTTAGATAAAATGCATAAACATGAGTTTCAATTTCGAATCAAATACGTTAAGAGACTAGAGTAACTTTTGCATTTTCATTCATATTAGTAATGTTGGTGGTTTCGGTGGAGTGACACACTTTCCGTAATTGTTTATATTGCAAAAATGTACCTAGCTTTTAAATAATCAACCTTTCCGTACAGTATATACTGATTAATACATAATTGTTTATAAGGTTACGAAATTATTATGCTTCATATATAATATACAGAGTGCACCAGTATAAAATCCTTACCACGAAATAAGTAATAGAATGAATACGGTTTAACAAACCTCTAAATATTTTTATTTAAATCCCCATATTTCAAAGATTTTTTGAGGGAATCAGTGAAGTGAGCTGATTTGTTTCAACTTTTCGCGTCATAGAAGAAGAAGCTATTGTTGATATCATTACTATTAACATTGATTCGAATTTCGTGTTTTCGGAGTTTAAAACCTTTACATCACGAGAGACTTGCTAGTCATTTTCTGACTATCGATCTGTGGGCCATACCTTCGTCGTCTCTGTGTAATCTATGTAGCTACAACCAATTCTGATGATAATAATATTTTTTGTAAATTATCCAAACTACATTTTCGAGCATTTTCCAAGTTCTTGGCCAAAAATAAGGTAAGAGCCACATATATTTTTAATGCGCCATAGTGTAAAGAGGGCTCCTCAAGTTCCACTTATTTTCAAAAGTTTCTGAAACTTCCATAACCTATCTTGTTTTTTACTTTCCACACTTACTGGCAAGGATATATTGTAATCGCTAGAAATTTTAAAAATCAGATATGTTTTTTGGATGCTATATGTATAGATAGATACATTATTGTCTTGTAGATCATAAAAAATGACGTCCGAACTGGTATATAGCACACAGAATTAAAAGTAAAACAAAACAAACAAAAGTATTTACAAGATAGTCCAAACATGAACAACTTTAAAGGCGTACGACATTCACATACAAAAAAGTGTTTGAAAAGAAATAACATATATCATAGTGCGAGGTATTTAGACAAAAAGTAAAAACATTTTTCAACTAATAATTTTCATAATTGAGTGTTTTTAGGAATACTTAGACTCTCACCTGCACTTGTGTTGATGTTTTAGTTCTGTATACATTTTTTGTGTTTGTATGTGTGAAAAGGGCGCACTTATGGGTATGAATGCTTGGTACAGTCATGATGTTCTTACTTCTAAAGATATCTCTGGATTATTCTATTTTATGGATGTTGAATATCAACCTGATTATTATCTTCTGTTGAAAATCCCTCTAGCAATTGAACTTGATTTACCCCAAATTATGATGTTGCTTGATCAATGTGAGTAGACGAGAGAACATACGAGCTCCTTCCCACTTCAGTTGGCCCACTTCAAGATTTGTACCAAAATATGCCTTTATAATACAATTTTTTTACTCAAAAACATTTCAGATACACTCTAGTCGTAAAAAATACATATTTGAAATCACTTAGACCTATAACTAATAGAACATCTGAAAAATAAACAATGTGCGAATAAATGCGCGCAGTTAACAAAGCAATAATTGAAAGATTACAATTGGGTAACATCACCTTTATTTTTCATTACGGCTGAAATTCTTTGGGGCATAATGTTAACCAAGTTTTGGCAAAAATTTGGTGTAAAACAATCTCATATTTCTTTAAGCTTTTGTCTCATTTTGGTGATTTTACGAGCAGGATGTTGTCGTAGAACCTTTTACATCTCGTGCCACAAAGTTTAAATAGGTGACAGATCTGGACTGCTAGAAACCCAAATAGCTTTTTTTGAGGTATGGCATGCTGCACCATCTTGCTGAAACACAAAATCTTGGCCGGATGTCAAACATTCTTCCATCACTGGTAAAAACGATTCTTCTAAAATTGCCAAATATTTGTTTATATCCACATTTCCATCAATAAAATGAAGTTTTCCTACTCCTTTTGATGACATACTGCCCCAGACCATAATGGATGCTGGAAATTTCACTTTGCTCTTCAGACAGTCAACATGGAATG